GAGGGGGTTCTAGGTTGATCTTTGTGATCGATTCCCCTTTCACACACACCCCCTTCCTGTAATACTTGTGGCATCTCTACTCTCCTTGTTGGCCCTGAGGGGTTTATCTATCCTGATTCCCTGTGTTGCGGGCTCTTACCTGTAGCAGTGTGCATGCTCTGGTCTAATCCGATACGTAAGGTAGAATTGAGGTCATGATAGTTGGGGGAAGGAAGCACCAAAGAGCTAGAGGAAAGTTGTTTTATCGGTGCTATACTGCACCCTGACTGGCTCATCTCTTCCCAATGACCCCTCTGTAAAGGGATCTCCAATTGTCTACAGATGGGCATTGGGTCTCCACTCCATGCCTCCCCACCCCCATTCACCTTGGGTATGATTTTGTTCTGGGTCTTAGATGGCTGATACCTGATCCCAGCGACACTTCGTGATCACACAGGCTGGTGTGCAAGTCTCTTTTTTTTAAGTGACCTGAACCTGTTGAAATTGCTGGTGGCAATTACATCATCTTCTGTCAACTTGAGTGAAGGGCTGGAGTCTAGCCTGCCAATCAGGTTGCAGCCTGATGACCTCATTTGGAGGCGCCATGGAGATAAATAGCTCACTGGAGGCCAAACCCTCTCTCTCTGCCTTCCCTCTCCTGCTGCTGAGACTCTCAGAGAGCTGGAGGAGACACGTGGTGACCAGCATTGAGATGCTTCCACCGCCACTGGATCCACCAGACTTTCCATCCACTGGCCTGTGATCTTCCTATATTCAGCATCATTACATGTGCTGTGTGAGTCTATGGACTAGTATTGGACTTATGGACTTGATCTGGACTGGGCTGGGATGTTCTGTCAATACACACTTCCTCTTTTTATAGAAAGCTCTTTTTTATCCACATCTGAGTGTCTATGAATTTGTTTCTCTAGTCAATCCAGATAAACACATTGCTGTACTAATATTCCTCTGATCGAAGGCCTGCAAAGAACCAAAACCCAGCCACCGGGTCGATGCTGACTTACAGTGACCCAGGAGGGCAGAGTAGAACTGCTCCCTCCTGCTTCCGACTCTGTCCATCTGGATGGGAGCAGACCAACCCTACTTTCTCCTGAAGAACAGCTGGTGGATTTGAACTGCTTACCAGTCAGTTAGCAGCCCGACACTGCATCCACGGTGCCACTAGGGTACCTAGCAGCTTTTAAAGAGCAGGGGCCACAAAACTTAAACCTATCTAGCCTCTACAACCATTTAGTTTTATTTTGTCATACCAAACATGTACATATGTATAGAATAACAAAGCAGTTGCAATTTTAACTGTTTTTTGAAGTGCACAATTTAGTGTCGGTACCTTCGTTACATACGCCGTCATTACAGCTATCTGTTTCCAAATAGTCTCCACCACCCCAAACAGAAGCTTAGTCCCCCTTTACCAGTAACTCCCCACCGCCCCTTTCCCCAGCTCCTGGTAACTGCTCCTAAACGCTTGTCTCTGCTCCTTAGTCTATGCTAGCCATGTGCTGGCGAAAAATATTGAAAGTACCCCGGGCTGCCAAAAGAACAAAGAAATCTGTCTTGGAAGAAGGGCAGCCAGCGTGCTCCTGCGAGGCAAGGGTGGCGAGACCGCGTGTCTCACGTTCTTTGGACACGTTGTCAAGAGAGACCAGTCCCTGGAGAGGGACGTCATGTGTGGTCAAGTAGAAAGGCTGCAAAAGGAGGAAGGCCCCTGGCAAGATGGACTGACGCGGGCAACGACAGGCTCAGAGGTAAGAACGAGTGAGGCATGCGCTCGCAGCAGGCCGCGTTTCGCCCAGTTGTGCACTGGGCCACGGAGTCAGAAGCAACACCTTGGCAACTAACAGCGGCTCTTTCCGGCAAGACCCCTGGAGACACCGTGGGCTGTCCGGGGCACTAGTACCGGGTCCTCTAAGGGCACTCTGAGTCAGAATGGACTCAGTGGCCGCGAGTTTGGTGGGGTGGGAGCGGTTTCCTCTAAGTCCTTCTGGACAATACCTTTGTTGTTTTTATCCTCATTGCGACACCGTGTTCTTAAACAGAACGGGACAGGCTCAAAACGAACTAGATGAGCCGAGTGTCACCCTGCAAATGTTCCTCAATGGAATTTGCCAAAACTCGGCTGACCAGGGTGTTTCTAGGTATGACCCAAGGCGAGCCTGAGGGGGTTTTGGCTTTGTTTTGGAGTTTCTTTTTGAAGAAAAGATGATGCTCTTTAGTTAACACGTTGTTTTTTTTTAACTCTTCGGGATAGCATTCAGCCGAAGTGGTGGTGCTCCTGTGTGCCACAGTCCTCACGACTCCCTGTGGTTTGCCCCCATCTAACTCTCATTCCTGTGCCAGGCTGGTGCCCTGTGAGAGAGGAGGGTTCGTGGCCCCTGCCCTGGAGGGCAGCAGGGAAAGGCCGTCGCTGACTGGCCCCTCAAAGAACATAGATTCATTATCACGCACCCCATTTGGTGAGCCAGGTCCCCGGCGCGGGCGGTGCAATGCTGTGTGCTCGGCTGTTAAAGAAAAGGTCCGCTGTTCGTAACCACTTCGTGGCACCGCGAAAGAAAGGCCTGGCGATCCGTTGCCATAAGCTCACAGCCACGGAAGCCCCAAGGGAGGGCATTCTACCACAGCCCCGCCCCAAGGGGTTGCCACGGATCGGAATCCATCTGATGGCAATGTGTTTGTTTTCAGACACAATGAGTACAGAGGACTCAGGGCCAGGTCCCTCTGCTTGGGGTCCAGTCCTTGCTCGAACCTCAGGGTCCTCGATGGTGACACCCAAACAAACCTCCAAGACTCTGAAACCACACGCAGTGCCATTAAGTCCATGCCCACTGGAAGCCACCCTGTCGGGCAGGGGAGAACTGGCCCCGTGGGTGTCCGAGACCATAACGCTTCACGGGAGTGGACATGCCTCGTCTTTCTCTCCCAGAGCCACTGGTGGTTTCGAACCTCTGACCTTGGGGTTCTCGGCCCACAGTGCAACCACTCCCCTGCCGGGGCTCCTACTAGTGATGTCGGGGCCGGGTAGTTCTCTGTGGTGGAGGCTGTCCCATGCACTACAATGTGTTGAGCAGCATTCCTGGCCTCTACCCACTAGACGCTAGCACGACCCCCACACCAGCTGGGACAGCCCCAAGCCACTGCTCTGCTGCCCGATCTGCTCCCTCCCACCTCCAGACAGTGAGCTGGAAGCTTCTGGAAGAAAGGCAGCATCTGTTTCTTACTCGTCTCTCATTCTTACTCCGAGGGAGTCCACCAGCATTGCTCACAAGGTGAGACCAGCAGGCAAGGTCAGACCGGGACAAGCCCGTGCACGCATGCTCTCAGGATGAGTGGAGAAACAAGCTATTCATGGCAGAGAACACAGCAGAACCCCAGGTCCCCAGACTGATGTGGCCTGCGCCCCCACCCTTCCTTGCAGAAAAAAATTAAAAATACACCCCTTGCCCCCTTTCAGTCTTTCTGACTCAGCAAGGCCCTGGCCATGAAAACCCTTTTCCGATATACCCAGCCCATAATGCAGGATCCAGTGTGGGTCTCTGCGCTGGCTCAGCTCCTCTCCGGATCCTGCCAGCATCCTCCAGGGGGCTAGACCGCCTATCATCCAGGCTTTCCTGCAGGCTCCCAGGACTAAAGGCGCTCCGGTCCTCATGGTCGGCAGTTCGAAACCACTAGCAGTTCCAAAGGAGAAAGCCTTGGCTTTCTACTCCTGTCAACCGTTAGAGCCTCAAAACCCACGGGGGCGGGGTGGGC